ACCTTTTTAGAGACAGTTTCGGAGACTCTGAATTTTTTAAGACCGCAAATTTCCCTCACAATCCTTGTCGAGAACTAAAGAAGCCCTTGGAGATTTTGGTTCCGGTTCTACTTACAAGACGACTGATCTAAATCTTATGAGGAGATATCAGAAACGAGATATCGTGTTCCATTGACTCAGATTTATTGGTTCGCTTCAGGGATTTTACGTCTTAAGCACAGCCTTTAAACTAATTTCTTATGTTGGTAAGCTCTTCCTGAGTGGAAATGACTTGACTTGGCAGATAATATAAACTTGGATACATTCGTAGCGTTAATAGTTAATACTGTGTGGCTGAAATGCTGATTTAAGGCAGCAGAACCTAAGGATAGGATGGAAGGACATATGATAAGTGAATATTACTCGATCATCCCCACTACTATGGTTTCCGCATAAGCATTTATCTCAGTAATAGCCTGGCAAATTAACTTACACAAGCGGAAAAATATTGGTTACCTATATTGTAGATAACGCGGGTTGACTACTGTAACACAGGCTTATCACATTACGCCAGCATGTGTGAATCAATAGCTAGTAGTTCCGTTCCGGATGAAATGGAAGGTTGCACCCCAACCATAGGAAATCCGTTGAAAAATATCCGGATGGCAATCAGACCGGAGTGAATGAGAAAAGATAGTACGCGACTGGGCTCTTAGGAGCCATAAAGATTTTCCTCAAGTGTGGAGGGGTACATTCACAGTGAAATAGAATGAGAATGACTCGGTCGTGACACACGGAACATCAATAGCCTGTCATTAACACTAATTTTCCTTCTTTACGCAAACCGCCTCAATTATATCAGAATGAAGAGGATAAAAGCTATTGCGCATGAACTCACTTGCTTCCTTATACCCACACCACTGACAGCCCCAGTGCTCATAAATTTCTGGTACGAATATACTACTCAAACTAAGATTAGTAGAAACATTTCGGCGCAATAGAAACTCCACTTCTGGTTGAACTCGTCCGACTTCCAGCGGACCTACCATTGAGGAAAACGAAGCATTTGCCACGTTTGAAAAAAGTAGAGGGTGCAAGTAAAAGAGACTAAAGCTAGAAAAGGTGACTGAAAAGACTTGCACGCTGCTTGCTGGCTTCGCTGGTTTGCGCACTACGGGGTTGAAAAACAGGTCTACAAATCGAATCCGTCAACTGTTTGCTTGATTGGGCTCAGCGGTTAAGGCGAGGCTACTGGCCGCAAAGTTTTCGGTTTGATCCTGGCATTCTGAATGCCCCTGTCTAGGCTTGGATAACTTTTCAGTATCTCAGCCCTCATGTCTCTTTCAGGTTGCATTGCAGCTAAGCACCAAAAGACTGCCACTAATGAACGATCATTTTAATTTTTACCGTGAAGCAAGGAAACCTTCCAGCAGTCGAGTAGGACAGTTGATAACTGTGAGGAGTCGTGCGACATCAGTGCGAGTTGTCGTATAGGCTTCCGGTGTTTATTTGCGGGTTTTCATCTAGGAAATGCAGTGCACTTCGTATCCCCTTAACGAAATGCGCAAAAGCATTGTTTGAACCGATAAATATCGTACGACGAAATGATTTTCGATTTGTAACCAGAATAAGGTTACTCAACATGTTACGGGAGCAGCCAGTAAGGAAGAATGGAAAATGGTCCGGTGCATGGAGAGACGATTTCTGCTTTCACAAATGGTGGGACCTATAAGCTGGCCCCCCAATTCCGTAAACTCGCCAACAAGGAGTACACTAGGTGCTGTCTGAGCTGGCCAGCCACAGCGCCAACACTGACTCATGGTGTGTAGTTTGCTCACCTGAAAGACCAATTTATCGCGATAGGAATACGCTACTCTCTAGGGAGGTCACCAAAAATTAGGGCAGCCTATACTACTCTGGTAGATTGTCTGAGAATAACCCCTGTTGCTTGAATAGACTTCACATTACGGCGTAACGCACGTATGTTCTTCTAATGCCCTAAAACATGACACCGATGAGGTTTCGCACACCGATACTAAACTCTTGGGGAAAAAACGCCTTCTCGTAACCGACGGTATAAATAGTTCTGGTTCGCCCACTGCTAAAGAACCAGCGCAGGCGGAACACATAACTGAAATGAATTGGGTTTCACTGGCCCTTTTCATCAAAGGCTTCCATTCACCCGACCGATGCGGCCCATGTATGTTGAAACATATCCAATAGCCGAAAAATTAGACCAGCCTTTTTAATCTGGTAGTTACGGCTGCTTTATCGACTTGTTCTCCGATGATCGCTCATCCGCAAACAGTGTGTCGACCCTGAACAGGCCTGAACTGCTCACTTCTACCTGCCACGTAGTTTCATCACCAAACGAAGTGGTAGTGTAGACCTGATTACGCAAAACATGGTTTGACATCGTGATGATGATAATATAGGATGAAGACAGCTTGTAAATAACGCAGAAGCCTAGCTGATTTTGACAAACACGTTTGTACGGATCTATTGAGAACGACAAGCGTCGGCGTATTCAACGTTTGAATACGTTTGTTTTCCGTTTGTTGAATGATCACGTTTGCGACTATAGTCACAGGATATGTGAATCTCATTCACGTCCTCGTACATACATGTTGACTGACTGATCACGCATTATGAACGGGGTATCGTGATGATAAGCTAGAATTAACAGATAACAGATGGACAAGAGTATATTTTGAACGAGTCCGGAATTCGGATGTTGTACTGAGCATTCTGAGGTGCACCGGGGAGAACCCAGCTTATAGGTCTCACCATTTGTGAAAGCAGAAGTTTTTTATCCATGCACCGCACTATCCGTCATTTTTCCTTTCTAAATCAAACGAAGCAATCAAGCGTCAAGTTTTTCGTAATTGCCATAGAGGTGAAAATAAATGAGGTGAACCGGACGTATGGCTTTACCAATTTTCGGATGTTGTCACTCTTGTTTGGTTAGTGTTGGATTTTGCTGGTTCCCGGGGAACTTGATATTATTGTGTTCGTTTACTGTGTGAATGCCCATTGTCGTGTCATTTTAGATGGCCTAACGCTCTCCAGAAAATTAATGGATGATTCGGATTGGGACCAGGATTCAGAGTGTTTTCGATGGACAAATTATAAACGCCCAACTGCAACATCCTTTCCGTTCTAACTGCCATGCCGCCCGAAAGAAGCATGCCAAGTTGCTCAAACCTGGACAACAGCCATCGAGATATAGTGCTTCGGTTCGAACCGTGGATATCCCGGCAAAGGTATTTTTCGATTGATTAATCACGATGAATCACCGTAAAGATAGGATGTTTTCAGGAGGCTAACCTCCCCAAATATGAGAATCTGACCGTTGCTGAACCCACATAATCTCTTTATATCACGCAGGATTGCCCTCAGGTTTCCTTTGTGGCACCTTAAGATTCCGGAAATTCCCCGCAAAATATGCCAAGAAGCGAAATGAACATAGCGGATATTGTGACCAGATACTGATATTTCCTTTTTCTGGTTTTACTGTGCACCGAAAGTCACACAAAAAGACGGAACTGACGACTAGGAGGCGTTCGACTCCCGTTGTTGTCTCATGAACGCAAACGAGTTGACCTGTGTTAAGTAACGTGCAACACCGAGGTCAGTGTTTTGTGTTCCTAAGTGTCATATTGGATCTTGTCATCGAGCCAGTCTCGCTAGTCTACTATCAAACGTTCCACCAACGAACCAGTATTTGTCAAGTTACGTGCCGCTTATAAGACCGATGGAAACTTAAGTCAGCCCGCTGTTGATATTGCCCTTCTTAGGGCTCTTCGGTTAGGACCGGTCACCGATTTCTCATCAGCTTGAACGAAAACTTGTATACACTTTCGAGAAATACACTCATTTACGAATCAATTTGGTTTTCATGAGAGACTCAGATGAATCTCTCGTTTATGACATTCTACAAGCAGAACATAAGGTTGACTGAAACTCGGAGACTGCGCCCACCTGATGAGTCCGAAGAAGGGCGAAACCGGTCGTGGGCTGTTGAAGAGTTTTCAGCAACCTTGTGAGTAGTTTCCTTTATGAAAACATACTGCGATATCTCGAATATCGTGCCAACTGAAACATGAGGCGGCCCGTGTGCAGCACATTCAGTTGTGGAATTTCAGAAACGAGAGATTTGGTTGAGTCTCTCGTGAAAACCAAATTGATTTGCAAATGAGTGTATTTCTCGAAAACAGTCCACTTAGGGTTCAAGTAGAACATAAGTTTGACGGAAACTGGGGGACTGCGTCTACCTGATGAGCCCCAAGCTGTCGAAGAGTTTTCAGCGACCTTGCGAGTAGTTTCCTTTATGAAAATTGTATACAATGTGATATTAGCACCCATTTGCAGATTACCGTGATTCTGATGGAAGATTTAGCTTCATTTGATCCGAACCTCTCGTTTATGATATCCTTCTACTGAATGTGCTGTACAAAGGCCGCCTTGTGCTTCAGTTTGTACAATATACAAGATGTCATATTGCGTTTTTATACTCCTTAGAAGGTCGTCGAAAATTGGTTTTGTCGATTTCGGGGATAATTAAGTAGGCTTAGACCTCGAGAAACGTTTAGTTGAAACCCAGACGAGTATTTCGTCTAGGTATGTCATTTAACTACGGTGAGTTACAGAATGGCTGCTAGCCTATATACAAGCTACGTTCGGACCCGGCGACTTTAGTCTAAGCAACAAGCGAGAAGTGAACTTGACCTTTTGAAACACTCATCGCGTGATTCCCGTGAAATCCACCTTTGTCATTCTCTTCCCTTGATATTCGAATCCTTTAATAAATTTCACTCATTAGGAGGGGCAGCAATCTGTCATCAATGTGGTGAGAACGAAATACACAGCAATGGAATCGGTATTGACATTTCTAGTGACGATCCGATTACCTTATCACCTTAAATCGGCGGTCTCGTTTAACCCACACTGTCCGATTTTACAGGTAAATCCAGAAATGATGGTTTCGGCTGTAACCTTGCAGCGTATCGAAAGTCGAGTATTCAAATTGGCTGACTGGCGATAAAACACCATATGATTCGAATCGGCTGGATAATAAGTTGTCTACTTAGAGTGTGCTTTTTTTGCATCTTGTGAAAAGTAGCGCCGGATGACAAGTGGCACATTAGGGTTATTTTGTGGACCAGTTCGTTCCCATAACGACCACGCAATCGATTGCTCACTTGCGGTGCAGGATTGGTTGGGTTCGAGGCAAGATCCACACCCATTTCAAAACGTTCACGTGCATAGGTATACACGTGAGCTTCCTCACCATTGGCAGCAAATTCGGCCTTGTCGTTTGGACGCTCTATCAGCTCCCGACGTCCCAGTGGTGAAATGAGAATGCTAACATCTATGAAGTCAGATGTGCCTTTGCCTCCACTCAGGTGTAGTAGCGGATTCACTTGGATCTTTTGGTGTGGAGTGATAAGGTACACAGACACGGAACGGAGAGATATCTTTATCTCTGGTTCATTAGCACTCTCAGTCAACCCGACAGTTGACTGTTTATCCGACGTCCTTATTGACAGGTTGATTTTGGCAGTTGTAGGTGTCTGTAATGATGCCCCTCGATTAGCCTGACCATGACTTCCTTCAGCTAACGGGGTGCGATACCCTAGGTTGAGCTTCGACAACACGATCCGCAAACACTGTCGTCGTAATGTGCGACACCACCAGGCTAGACCGACGGAATTCGAAAAAGTGGTTAGATCATTGGTTGTCACGATATTTGGTGAGTTGGACGTGAGGTCTGCTCGACTGAACCATAGAGGCTTACCTGAGTTCCATAGTGTTTTACGAAGATCCGACTGGCATCTTTTGTGAAGGAGGCAGTCTGATTGCCTCCAGCGGAATGGGAAAACGTAGCAAGAACTCAAATCCAGCACACTTCACAGCCAGCTTCGGTCGATCGTTCGATGAGTCATATTGAGTTTGCGCATTTGCCGAATTCAGATCAATTGATGGCACAGCTTTATGATGTTGACGAGAGTGAGAACAATCGGTTTGTGTTGTGTTTTACGTACCCAGCCCGAAAACAGTTCCGTAGTAATCAACATCGCGGTGCAGATCCTCCTGCCAACGTGGTACCTTGGTAGTTGTGGTGTCTAATCCTAATGGCAAGAACGTTGCAACCGCCTCAGACGCAGCATCCACAGCATCTGTAATCCGGTGCATTCGATGCCTCTCCAAAATCTGGTTGCGATTCAGGAGTCACAACAATAGTTCTAATACTATAAACGGAACTGATTGATATCGTGATTCGGCGTACGGCGTCTACCTACCGTAAAATTGTGACAGTTTGAGACATTTAATCACGTGAAAGAAATAACTTGTGTCGATAGAAATCTATGTACTTGAGGGCTACAGTTATAGACGACGCTATGATCGTTTTTAGTCTAGAAACTTTGAAAACGGTTTAACCACCTGAAATGATTAACTCAGCTTTTGGAACCGAAGCATACTGTTATCCGCATACATTTTCGTCTGATGCTAGATACTGTTATTTAGGACCCTCTTTGTTCCGTACTGTCAATTCTCGGTGCACCGGGGTTGAACTTGGGACAAAAAACCAAACAGTCTCTTTGATATGAGTGTTCTAAATGTACCGGAAAGTGGGGTGAACGGAATTCAGATCAATTCACCCGCATTATGATCATCTAAAATTACTGGCAGTCATAGAATCAGCTGATGCAGCATTGCGATAATGCGGAACTTGAAAAATCCGGTCATTTTATTGTGACACTTATACATCGCATTATGATCATCTAAAATTACTGTCAGTCCTAGAATCAGCTGATGCAGCATTGCGATGATGCGGAACTTGGAACATCCGGTCATTTTATTGTGACACTTATACACTTACCCCTCGACAAGTCTTGTGCAGGTCTAGAGGAGCGGAAGAAAGATGACAGCGGTTTTAATCAGATCACGATCGATCACAGCCAAATTTAAAGGATAACGTCCACCAACTGATGTGTCTGATAGCTATGAAAGGTTCTGTTCTACCGATGATTCGTTAACCAGTTATAAACTCAACGGGGGGGGGGGAATGGAAGAACTGCCACATGGAGAGATATTGCAAGCCACTTAACGCTGTCATTTTATGGCACAAACAGCTGGTCGCACAAATACAAGTGAAAAACAATCTCGAAAGTTATTTCTCAGAGGAGATCGACTTAGCTGGCTTAAGCTTAGGTGTATATAGTGATCCTCCTTCAAGTCGGGACATCTTTCCAGATGGTTCGGAAAACCGTTCCTTGTGATTTATGGCCTAGCCTACCTCTCCAAAATGGGCATCACCTCTCATCTACATTTTGCCTGAAGACTTGCCTTATGTGGATCTCACTTTTATACTGTGCATTCTCAAGAGTTCTGGTAGCTACTCTTCCGAAATTCTAGAGAAATTCATTCCACGTAGAGTCTGTAAACAGCTTCGGAACTGACAGGATTCGAAATTTCGTACGTCCGATTTCAAAGAAACTGATGTTGAGGGGTTCTCCATAATATGTACTTTTTTGGAATTAAGCTTGACTTTGACACGAAAGTAGTTTAGAAGGTGGGGCACGAGCTGCTGATGGAAGTGTTTGCAGTTTGAACCAAATACTAGCCATTAGAGTTCTCTTGTCTGCAGCTGGGCTACCTGGTGGCATGCTCAGCTGTTTTGCATGAGAGTTATACTCCACAAAGGTATCTGGGCCTGAGCCATCTGGTTTAGTTTGGAGCTTCTGGCGCATAATGTTGTGCAACAAACTCATCTTTCTTCACGACAGAGTGCAGTCTTGAGTTTTTTGCCGGCTGCATGTAATTCTTATAGTTTTCTGGCAGGCTGTACTTACTTTCACCATGTCCATTCTGGGTAGTTTGTAAAAGCATCAGATAGCCATTTTAGCAGCTCTCCTAATTGACCGACTGCACTTGAAGAGTTGGTGATAAGTTGCTTAGTTTCATTTGTTCATTGCTCATGTGCGGTTTCTCCGTTACTAGTTATACCGACAGGCGACGGTCCAATCGGTCCTGGTTTGGGGCCGTCTCTTTTTTGGGGTAGAATCAATTAGTCAGATCTTGTACTTTTAACTTGCAAGAAAAAACGCTTTGTGCAACGAACTCACCTTCTTGTACAAATTATCATATTTGGAAAGATGTGGTTTAGCTCTTTACTGCAAGCTCATAACTACTTAATTCAAGTAAAGTGACGTCGGACTGCTCTATACGGTTGTTTCGCACTGCGACAGAATGTACATTGTGTCCACGAATTGTACGATTAGATGGACCATTCGTATAATTAGCGTACTGAGGAAACTAATGATCAAAAGGGATTCTCAGCTAGTTACGTGCATAGTCCAATTCAAATGAAATATCTCAGCAAGGAGACCGATAAAACTCTCTGAAGCAGGGGGATCCTTTTCGGCATCTTGGCTCTTAAACAGGCATAGGCCAATATAAGCCAATCGACATATGGGTGTTCGTATAATCCAAGTCTATCTAAGCGGATATCAAAAGGAGCAGAAACTTATGATCAAAGACGCGTTGAAAGGTCATATTTTCTGGGGTCAGATTGTGCATCAAATTTTTTGGCATTCAATAGTAAAAGCGAATCCCTATTCCATTCGTAGAAGATACTCTGCTGGCTGAGTGGAGCAGAAGATCTGAAGAAGTTCTCTCTATATATTATCTTTGTCTTCCGATTGACTGTTCTGTACCCATCCGCGGAAAATTTGTCCTTCTGTTCAGAGTGTACACAGCCTGTCTCACGTAACTTCGAGGATAATCATAATGGACACTGCAAATTTGAAGCCTAAACTGCACCACTGTTTCAAAGAAAACCCTATATACTACTTCTTCAGCTGACAGTAAAAAATCTCTCCACTTCCTTCAAGATCCGTATCTTACCACGTGTAAACTAAGAATCAGGGGTTAATGCTCCTTCTAATGAGTATCTACTAATTCTCAAACCTCAGTGGCCACACGCTGAGGCAATTACTGATAGCCAGGTTCATGTCAGGAACTCGGCACTTCTCACCGGATTTGATCACTGACATCGTTTTCTTTTATTTGGTGGCGTGTTAGAATGACCGACTCAGACAGGCACCTATTTATCTGTAACCACAGGGCTTAATGAAGCAATTAGGCGTCACACCTCGCTGAACCATGGGTTAAGGGGCTGATGTAATATGGTGTGTAGACAGTGCACCATCTCATTGTTTCTACAGTTAACATGTACGTTGGCGGGGTCACGAGTTTTAAGGTTACCAGATATCCGAAATTTTGAAGAATTCACATAAACGTTCATGTCATGATCCAAAACAGTGGAATCCAACATTTAGAATCATCGCTCCACTACTTTCCTATGCCAAATAGTAAATTTCCGTCAACAAACCTTGGACCTTCACAACGGGTCCCATCCATGAAGGGGCTATCCTCCTGAGCTATATGAGCTATAAGTAATAGTGTTTTCCGTAAGGAATGATTTAGCCTGCAATAACTTCGGAAAGCGGCTAACTCTAGCCAAAGCCTGAAGCTGTGCAGAAGTGAGCGAAGCGACTGGATGCCGCAAGTACAGCTATTTGCAAACGGACTTGGTTTTGACAGGAGATTCAGATGAATTTAGCCAAATCTCTCATTTATGATCGTCGAAAAGTTTTCAGCAGCCTTATAAGTAACGGGTTGCGTTTAGATAATAGCTGGATACTGGCCAAAATTTTAGACTGGAAGTCACTCGGTGAATGCCTCAGATTGCCAAGTCAGAGGACGCAGTCAGTTTCGATATTTAACAGGATGCATGCTGACCCCGCTACAGAATGTAGTCGTCAAAAATATGGTTTTGTGCGCATTCTAATTGAAAGTTCACTCCGTTCGACAATTCTTAAAACTCTCAGAAATTTAAATGCATTTACTCAAGTCCTTTGAATATACACCCATTCTAGTCATTTTTTACGATCAGATGATTTTGGCGCATTACGAAAAGTTTGAATGACATAGGGACGAAACAAAGGAAAAGCAGGCTGTTTTGAACTTTCTTCGGACAAATGTACTTACCCTGTGTATTAGACACCTTTTTAGAACGTTAAACGCTTAACTAGATTGCTTTTCCTCTAGGATTAAACTATCCTTGAAGTGGATGAACTTCCGGTTTTCATAAGTGACCCAGCTGAATCTCTCATTTATGATACTCTTCGACTGAATGCGCTGCGCACAGGTCGACTCATTTCTCATTTGGCACGTTATTCGAGATATCGCAGTATAATTTCATAAAGGGAACTTGTAGACTATGCCTACCTGATGAGCCCGAAGAAGGGCGAAACCGGTGGTGGGCTGTCGAAGATTTTTCAGCAACCTTGTGAGTAGTTTCCTTTATGAACGAACTTCTGTTTTCGCTCCTGGGGAGGTCCACTATATTCCCTAAAAAATGAACATGCAACTTGCCAGCGCCTTGTCGTGAGGCGGGTGAGCAAGATGGTTCTGTCAAACTGTTGCATGTCAAGCCATGTGTACCTGGATTTCAAGACCTCATCCATCGTGACAATACCAGAATGTGTACTCAGTCCATTCAAGTTTGTACAGTACAGCAGCGTGCGTCAGTCGGATGGTCTCGCGTGAAATCGCACCATAGAGCCTACTAGTTTCACTTATTGTTGTAATATTCGGTAGAACGATGTACCTGACATAGTGGGAGCAATCACACCGATTTAAAGGATACTAATTACATGGCATTCCTTTACAATCAGTATGCAACTGCTGAACGTGCTGTTTCCATCAGTGACGAAGGCGATGGGAAATCAACACCATCAGTGTCTTAGCAAAGACCTCATCTATGGTAAACCTCCTCAAATGCTCCTTGAGTTCTTTTTCCACCTTGGCGTTGTGTCACAATCTTCCATGGTTTTATGCGACATAACGCGGCTACAGAACAGCCAAGGCCTCTCGTACAACTTGCACACTTCATGAAACCGACCAATTAAGGTATAATTTATGTTCACCTAAGTCTGTTCTTGTTATGACTCTATTAATGGAGTGGCTTGCCAAGCAACGCAACGTTGGATGGCCTGATCACTTTCAGCTTGTGTGAGTGTGCTCCGTCCCACATGACCATTACTCACGATCCACCTGCAGGAATGGTGAAGCCAGCGAACCAGTTCGACCTGTTTCCTCCCCACAGGTTGTCTCTTAGTGTTTTCCGTTCCGGTGGTTCATCATTGCAATCATACGCTGGAATATGCTCGTTTCAGCACACTTTTCACAATTGCTAAATCCCACTTCATCCTCTTAACTCGCGTTTCTGTTAGTTACTACGCTTTTTGGAAGAGCGAAAGGAGAGCTTCCGTACCCCAACTCATTTCTCAGTAGGTCGGTGGTTTCTTCACATACTGAGACCCCGTGACCCGGTTTCACGTCTGAATCGAGATTACGAAAATGGTAGGTTGTTCAGCTAATTTCTTGCAGAAGCTTGTTGTTGATTTGCCTAAGCTTAGTGTAAGAATGTCACAGTGTACTAAAAAATTATGGTGACGAATGAACTCGGCAAACTTTTCAGGTGTGCGAAAGTTTTTTCCGCCAAAAATTCTCGGAGGGGACGCAATAAAACGAAAAGTGACCATGAAAAGCCATCTAACCACTCAGGTTCTCAACCTCATCTTGACCGCTGCAAAGAACTAGACCTCGTGTAGCTTTCTTCTCCCTACAAGCAGAAATGGACCAGAAAAAGGATGAGAAATTGAGCGTTAAAAAGAGTAGTATGCAAATGGAGAGGGGTATCCTCTTATACTTGAAGCCAACTTGTGCTGAACAGCCGAGAAGCGCTGTACAGTGGTTTTATTCTTATAGGGAATCATTAACGTATGAAAGTCGCGACCTTTCCGTTAGTAGTTTGAAGATAAACGTGGCTTGTAAGTAGTGTGATTAAATCGTACTTGGACAGAATAAAGCCCCGCTCATTCTTTAACCACGGGACTCATAATGTTTATTCGCACGATTTTTCTGGGCCCTCCAACTACGAGTTGTCCGATGGAAGTCTCACCAATTGGGTGTCTTTTATTCTTCCTCTGAGCTACTCATATATTGTTGGTAGTGCGAATGGGTTTTGAAATTTCGTGGCAATCTCATCACGCAAGTGAGGCCCACTCATGCTGAAAAGCTGAGAAGCACTATACAATAGCTCGAAGGAAGAATAAAATTCACCTGGTGGGTGAAACATCCATATAATAAATCGTGAGATGTGCACTAGTGATTACTCTCAACAAGTACTGTGCAGTGCTTCTCAGCATTTCATTATAGATTGGCTTCACTAACAGGACGAAATCTCCATTAAAATTCTTGATTCTCGTCTCACATTCCGCTGGTTAGTATGTAAATAGCCAGCTTAACACGCGACATGTGCATATCAGTGGGGATAAATTGCCTGGGTCCGAGTCACGCAACCATTAACCGACCTAATCTTTCCTATCCTCTAGCCAGGTTTTTGTGGCACTCAGCAACACACATTTCAGGGAGATTCGCAAAGGACCCAGTGTCATGGACCGGAAGAAATTGGCCCCAAAACCTTGGGCAAATTGACATTACCTCTCCCTTTACTAACCCATCAGTTCAAGCTGCGAACTTTGAACCTCAAACATTAGGGGACTGATCTAACTTCTGTCTGATGAGTCCTAATCAAGGCGAAGAATGAAATTGACAGCTTTCAAGGACAAACTAGCTCTGCGATTACACCTGAAATCCAACTTATTAATCCAGAAATTTATCAAATCTTCAGTGTATGTTG